CTTTCACTAAAATATTAATATAGTTTTTCAGTGGGCTCTTCGAAGCTTTTTCATACTAACATTAATAGGAGACAAGGCCTTTATTGAATTTAAATATGGTATTTTTTCAGAGCTAAAGGTTAAAAAAGGACCACTACTGAACACTGGATCGTGAATGATTTATAATGACTTATAAAAGAATAAATTCAAAATAGAAGGGACACTGATTTTGTCTACTTCTTATAGACTCAGAAAAAAACTGAAATTGACATTGTTATTTGCATTGATCAAAGTTTGAATATTATAAAACTTAATTCAGCAATAAATTAGAATAAAAGTCTTTGTTTCCTTGCAAAGAAATAAATATATGTTTAAACTAGGAAAAACTTCAATTGTGATGCAAAATTCATTTCAGTGTTTTGTACAAGATTTTTCTAGACTAATAACACCCAGCGCTGTTCATTGCAGCTAGCTTATCTTTTCCTCATTAATTTGGTGTGCAATATTTGTTTGAAAAGCAGATGCAGGAAACTGAAAGATAGAAAACATAGATTTCCCATAAAGCCTTGAAAATAATACAAAGTGATTGCAACACCTTATCTGGTATTGTGCAGTATTTTTTTCCTAAATAATAAAATTGTCTCCAATTTTTAGCTTAGTTTAAATTCATTTTTATGATCATTGACACTGGGAATAATTTGATATTTTTCTTCTCCAATAGGAGCGTTTTTAAAAAAGTTCCTGTGTTGATCAAACATAGTGATAATCAAAAAGCACTGAAAACTATAACAGGATTTTCCTATTATATTAATTCAGTTCAAATTGGGAATTCCGCACTTTGGATGGGAAATTATATTTATTTCAGCCCTATTATGGGCATTTTCCTATCTTTGAATTTCTAAATTAATTAATATCTAATTAATATCTAATTAATATTAGATATTAATATCTAATATCTCTTAGCAGCCATATAGATTCAACAGAGAAATGAAGGACATATCATATGTTCTAAACCTCAAAGGATCTCTCTGTTTTCCTTTCTGAATGTAATGAATAGAATAAGCCTAAATATTTCCATGGCCCTTCAAATTTACTGGTAGTTGAAGTCTGCTTATCAGATTAGGAAGGTTGTATTTATCACTAGATTCAAAGCTCACACTCCTTCCTTATTTTCTGTGCAGATGGTCATGTTGACATTTATGCCACAGAAAGTTCCTAGAAAAATAAGATCTCATGAGAAATAAGATAACTGCAAAAGAAGTTTTAGAATATGAATTGTATTAAATAAAAAACTTACATACCAAACTTTTCAATACATTGCAATAGGACTCATTGTATTATAGAACCTCGTCTTTCATTTTTTAATTATTATCTACAAATATATCCATTTTTATGAACCTGAGCCACTGCATATTGGTTATAATTTCAATCACTTCATTCTCAGCAGTAATTTCTTTTTTTCCTTTATTTTTGTTCTGCTTGCTTGGGTTTTTAAAATGATTACAATGTATTGTTTTTTTGTATTTCATAACTATTATGAAAATGGGCCAAATTAATCAATTATTGGCTCAGTGATTAGGATTTGAAAAACTCGTACTTTAGACAAATTTAATTTAAGGGTAATGATGCAATATAAGAAATACTTCCATTTACATCTAATTCTACAGTTCTTTGGTGTACTATTCTCCCTTGAAAAAGCAAATTTACGGCAGGATTTGAAGTAGGAAAACGAAGTTCCACCCAACTTCCCTTCTTTCTTAACTGATTTAAACATTATAGCTATGGTACTGGAAAAAGAGTTACTAACTTCTAGCAAAATGTTTTGAGTCAACTACACATTTAACATATTTATGAATGTTAATGAATTTGCAGTGTCTTCAGTTAAAATGTTTTGAAAATACAGTGGTACCTTGATACTCAACTGCTTTGAAACTCATCAAATCTGGTACTCAACACATTTTGACATGCAAATTTTGTCCCAGTATTCATCATTTGTTTGGTACTCAGTCCACAAGCTAGAACCTGTTGATGTCAGCTGCCTTGTGATTCACAACATTATTCCTTATGGGAAAAATTTGTTTGGTACTCATTAATGATGAGTACTGAGGTAACACTGTAGTTTATAACTATATTTTGCAACAAAATGAATAGGTAAACAAATGATCATAACAGTTGCTCTTAATTTTAGTTATGTTACTGTCTCTCCTGTCTCTATCTAGTTATGTGTGCTAAAACTTAGTCTGTGTGAAATTCAAAAGATTTTTTTTTTCTTTTTGGAAAATTCAATGATACTGTCTCAAACTATAATTATTACTCCAAATTCCAATGGGGATATTTAGGGAAAAGCTGACGGCTGGGTGACTGGGTGGCTGGCTAGCTATGTAGCTATATAGCTAGCTAGCTACCTCTAGACAGTCAGACATATATTTGGGGGGCACTTCTTCAGCAGTTTCAAATATCAGGTGATGTTAGATATGGCATTAAAATAACAGAATACATTTTTACAGATTCATAGCTGAGGATATGTCATATTCCTAAACAAAAACTGTGGCCCAACTGTAAATTCTGAAAGGAAAGAAAACTGAAAACCAGATTGCAGTGAGTTTGGTGGTTTTAGTCCAGGCATGAAGTATCAAAGGGCTATAGCAAATACAGCTGTATATAGAAGCAAGTAAAGAAGGGGAAAGATAAAGATCAAACTAGTCCGGAGTATTTAGTTCTAGCTGAATATGCATTAAGTTTAGGAAAGAAGCAAAGTTTAACAATGTTTAAGATAAACTAGATAGACTTTCTAAACACAATAGTTCTCAAAAATGCAGCCTCATCAAGTTTACTTATAAAAATAGAAATTAAGGATAATAAAGTTGCTAGAAGTAATATGCAAACATCCTTAAAATAGGACAGTAGAATTGCTTTGCAATTTGCAAAAGACTCTTGTTAAATGTTTGCCACAAACAGATGCTACAGTAGGACATTTTAATACCGTTTTTCTCAATACAGTAACAATTTCCTAACACTTTTTAAAGTGGTACTAAGTCAAGAATTACCTGTAGTTGCCATTTTTCTGCATCTAACTATTTGGAAAAACAAAAATGGGCTAACTTTGTTGGTTTGTTGATTAGGGAAGCGATGAATAATTCAGTTCCAAATGTTGTCTTTCCTTCCAAATATCCCTTTTCTCCTGGATGCATCTGAGATAATTGTTGCTTTTTAACACTCATCCCATTTTAGTCTTTAAAGGAAGGTGAGAGCAATAATGCTGAGTGACTGAACCAAAATTTCAGATTCTATTAATAGCAAATCAATGACAATAATAATAATATATATAAAGCAAATAAACAATTCACCTTGAGAAGAAAGTTACTATGGGGCAGGGAATCGTGATCACTAGTTCATGTGCTTTTTACTAGTGAAAGGAATACTTACTTGCTTACTCACTAGGGTAATTTTCATAGGCTTCCTTTCAGTGTGCTTAAACAGATTCTGTAACAGTGATGGCAAACCTTTCAGAGACGAGTGCCCAAAAACTGGCCCCGCCCCCACTCTACCCCCACCCCCATCCTCGCCCCCCCATCCTTGCCCCCCATCCCCCACCCCATCTGCCCACAGGGCCATTCACCACCTCCAGGGCCTGCTGCAGATCGCCCAGGCAGCCCAGCAGCGCTATGGCGGTCATGCCCTCTGCCCGCGCCTGCAGCATCAACTGTGCACAATGGAGTGTGAGGGCAGAGTCTTGTGTACGCTGCCTGGCTGCCATGTCCTTGGCTGCGCTGCTCTGCGTGGGCCACATTCAGGGGCGACTCTCCTTCAGGGGGGCTGCTGGAGAGGAGGGGGTCACGGGGGGAGGTGAGGCTAGGGCAACGGCATGTGTGCCCACAGAGAAGACTCCGAATGCTGCCTCTGGTATCCGTGCCATAGGTTCACCACCACTGTTCTATAACGTCGAATGTGCCTCATGAGCCAGATCAGATGACTACCTCACAAATGTTCTTGTAGTCTTTTAAATATGTGATTTAGACAAAGCTACATGAAATTCCAAGAATGCTGCAATAAGATTTCAGTTAAAGTATTTAGGCAGATATCTTCCTCAAAAATGTCTGATATTTTGAAAAAACAGCTTCAACTTTTCAATTACCATATAATTATTGATTTAACATTCTTAATGTATTTTATTTGATGAACTATTATTATTATTTTGTCCATGTTTTGATTTTTTTTAACTAGGCCATCATTTCATTGTAACCTGTTTAATTTTCCCTCATGATTCTGCAGTTCTGACTTTATTGATTTATTTATTAAGGCCACCTAACTCCAGAAAGACTGTGAACAGCTTCTAATATTTTCAATACATAAATTAAAAACAAAGCTAAAGCAACATGACTGTCTTAGCTAAAACAATATTCCCAACATTCAAAAATATATATTTATTGCTTTTATTATTTTTCTTGCTTTGGCATATACTGACCGGATATTCTTACATATACATGCGCACTCTCTCTGTCTCTCGTGCGCGCACACACACACACACATACACACACACTCCATTTGGTACCATGTCATATGCCCAACTTAAAGAAAATCTGGTAATAGGAATAGACAATATTGATATATATACTTTAATAAGAGCTGAAAGCCTACCAAAGCCCCAGGAAACAACATTGCACCATTTGTGAAGAGATGAAAAGTGCCCTTGGTAAAGCAGATAAGCTCTGCATGACTTGTCCCTGGTGATATTACTGGCTGAAGCCTTGTGATAAAAGGGCTATGGGCCATGGCTTTTGGAGACAGTGAAATTTTAATGTGAACAAGTTGTGTTCCATAATCTCCCTCTGAGCTAGACTAGGCTGAGGAATATATTTAAAGAATACACTTCCTTAAGGAGAGTGACCTTTTGTCTATCCCATGCCACCACACAAGGAAGTGCTATTGCCAAACTCTTACTTTTTTTTAAATAACCCTACTATTATTTCCCATATTTATTACATATGTTATAATTTAAGTTGTTCCAGCTTTAAAAAATAAAAGAAAATAAATTTATCCTATAGGATTTTTAAATATTACAGCAATCATTCTTGCTGTATCTTCTTGATTTTAAGATCCTAGAGAACTGATTACCATGACCCCTTATGTGTTCCTTGCATTTCCAGTTGTGTGCTCTTGTACTCACTGAAGGGTTGAATGACCCATTCTCACAAATATTCGTACAATTTTCTGTGTGTCTAATAATTATAACCACTTTTACTTATTTGTATAAACTTTTATAGTTTCTTTTCTTCCCAATATACACTTTAACACATAAAGAACATTCATTATGATATATTGATGATACAAAACAGATACTTAATAATTGGCTCCTTTCTTAAACAGAGTGCACATTGTAATAAGTTAAATATGTAAACAATTAGAGCTACTACACAAATAATTGTTGAACTGAATTTGTCGTATATGTGTAGATTCTCATCCAATTTCTGGCACCACAACTTAATCAATCCAGCTTGATTTAAATTTCTGGGAAGCTTTCTGGAAAGACTTGAGGCTAAGTTGTACATTATATATTTGTTTCAAATACTGCTAAATTATGGCATAAAATCAGGGCTATGAATGCACATGTAATATACAATTCTGATAAAACTTTTTGAACTTCATTTTACCCTTTGATTTGATAAATTCTCAAGTGCAATAGACAAAGTTTCATCAAGGGTAGATCTAGTCTTTTCTCCCCCCAAAAAATCAGATTTAAATCAACCAATGACTAAATCACTCTTTTTTTTTTTTCAGAGAGAGCTCCTACACTGAATAAGTTTCTGGAATGCTTTCTTAAAATCTTCATTAAAGATTGTGTAAATCAGTGGGTTAACAAGAGAATTGATATATCCCAACCATGTCAGAAAATTAGACATTTCTTCTGAAATTTGACATCTTTCACAGGTATTAACGACCACCTCTTTTACAAAGAAAGGCAGCCAACAAATCACAAAAGCACCCAAAATCAAACCAAGGGTAGTCGCTGCTTTCCGCTCTCTTGTAGTAGAAATGCGTTGCCTTTTCCACCCTTTTTCATTCTTAGATTCTGAATCAGGGCTTCTCAGTGAAAACTGAATTCTGTCCAAATCTCCCGAAGTGTTAGACCTTTTATCTTTTGTACGTGATGTAGTTGAAGATAGCCGGCAGCTTTTCTCATTTGCTTCCAAGAGGTCTTGCCCATTTGCTTCCTCTTTAAGAACCCGACTCATACTCCTTCTATGAAAAGTCTTGGCTGCTTTGTATATTTTGTAGTAAAGAATCAGAATTAATGTCAGTGGGATATAAAATGCTCCAAATGTAGAATATATAGTGAAAGCAATGTGGTCATGCTTAATGATGCACTCGTCATCTTTGCTGGCTGCTTGATGTCTCCAAAACAATGGTGGCATTGAAATGAAGATGGAAATAATCCAGACAATAGCAATCATAAAGCCAGCATGTTTAGGCGTTCGCTTCCTGGCATATTCCACAGCATCAGTGATTGCTCTGTAGCGATCTAAAGCAATGGCTGAAAGGTGAAGGATGGAACAGGTACAGCAGGTGATGTCGACACTAAGCCAAATATCACACATCACCTGACCCATGATCCAGGTTTCTTTGACAATGTAGACAATGCTGAAGGGCATGACGAGGATGGCCACAAGGAAATCAGTGACTGCCAAAGAGCATATTAAGTAGTTTGCAGGGTGGTGGAGTTTCCGTGTCGCAATTATTGCAGTCATCACTAGAGAGTTGATAACTGTTGTCATCACTGCTAGAACAGAAAGGGTAATAGAAACTAGAATCTTGGAAGTTCCTTTTTTAAATGATTCTGTATCATTTTGTTCCAGTGTATAATTTTGTTCAGTAAAGTTTAGGAAACCCATTATTTCCTTGAAGATTGTCTTTGCCTAATGAAGATATCTGCAGGGAAATAGTTTAGAAAGCAAAAACAACAATTAAAACTCCCCATTCTATATATTTTCCAGTGTTATACAATACACAAGAGGTTTTTTTTAAAGACTTTCTTCCCAATTTTTTCTGTCAAAACTTTGAGTAGAGTATATTTGAGGATTTTTATAGAAAAAAGAAGGAATCAAATATGTTTTTCATGAAACTGAAGTTGAATTTATAGCTAAGACTAGTATATCTACACACATGCTATACCTATCACACTATTCGGTTTCAGGATTAGCAACATTGCAAAGTAAAGAAAGGCAAGGGAAAAATAGTAAGCCAAATAAATTAGAGAATTGATATAATTAGAAGAACAGTTTCTTGATATCGCTCCCTATGTAGCCATCCTATGCTTCCATAACACTCATCTAGCGTTTGATATTCCGTGCAGTACACTTAGAATGAAATGCAAGATTGGTTAAAGCAAAACAGGTGTGATATTAAATCTGCCCCTGCATTTTCTTCTTTTAAATATTAACAAGGATCAGAATAGAGCAAGTGTCACAAGTGTAGTACCATTGAGCCCTTCCTCTCTGCTGCTATCATTCTGAGCTCTAATTCTCAAAACTGGTATTACTATCTACAAAAAGTAAGATGTATTATCAAAAAACAAAACACAGAAATACAGATATTAGATACAGGACTGATAAGGTGCACAATACACAGTTAAGAAGAACAAAAGAAAAAAAGAAAAGAAGAGAAAAGGAAAAAGAAGAAGCCCAAAACACTGTTAGTATTTCCCCCCAAAGAAGAATTTATTCAAAAAGTGTTTTGAATAGCATTTTGTTCTCAAGGAATAGTCTTAAAAGATGAGAGGGATTTTATACTAATGCAATTTGACATTTTACCTCCTTTAGTTCTCAAGGATAGATTCAAAAAAATCTTCTTTACAGAAAAATCCTGCCCTTTCTGTCTGGGTGCTATATTGTGATTTCTATAGAGATTCTCATAAGACTCTGAACACTTTTCTCTGGCTATTTCCATGGTAGTCAGCTGAGTTCAGACAAGAACTTTAGAACAATGCTTATCATAGCCAAATTCATATTGATAGCCTGCAGGACTAAATCACTGTTAACAGTAGATTAAGCCATGAAATGTCTTATTCACCTATATTTTATTGGCTATAATAATAGAATCTCTCAAGTCTGCTTATGTTTCATCTTCTCTTCCCCTTATAACCCATTGAGTCAGGAAGAGTCAGACTCTTCCTAATGCTATTTCCAGGTTCCCTTAAAAACTACTCCATGGCTCCCTGTACCAATTCACATTCTTATTTTCCATTCCTAGTGGAGCCCTGGCATTCACTATCTGTCTTTTTAGTCATTAATAATTGCCTGGTGATTGTGAACATCTCTGTAATAGAAACAATGTTACTGATTTCTTCATTCATTTTTTTAAAACATTATATTTGACATATATTTGTGTCCTTCAGATTTCCTGAAAAAACAGTATTTGTAATAATTAGTTTAAAGGGTAACATTAGAGGCAACATTCACTGCAAATAATCATAGCAACTGATAGACATAAGTGCCCAGGTACTTACATTCAAATGAAGAAAATAAAATAATGCCAACCCTTGGCAACATCCAGGAAAAGATAACTTGGATAATTTCAAAATATAACATTTATGTATTTTAAAACCAGATATTGATCAGTATAAGAAAGTAATTGTTACATCCCATTTAATCATTTTTCTAAGAGTTGCTAACATAATCTGATCTTCATTAAATATTACCTTGTACATATTGACAAAGATGAACTATTGAGGATTCTTTGGTTTAGAAATAGTCTAACTGTGCTATGGAGTCCATATTCAATGCAAATTCAATAGATCAAAGTGTTTGCCAAAATTGTAGAATAGCAATTTTTAAGAATTCTTTCAGGCTAGTCTTACGTGTGCCTACTCTTCCCAGACTTCCTCTTCTACTTTTGACTATGGAAAATCACTAAGGTGGGATACACACAAACAAACAAATAGGTATCCAAGGAAAGGAAAGAGTAAGCTGGAATGAAAGTTGGAAAAATGAATTCTAGAATTAACAGATTGGAGTCAGAGTCTAGAGGGAATAGTGGTATTGTAAACTTTATTTATTCTCTAGAAGAATAGAGATAAATTAGAAAGGACATGCATTAAATTCCAAGTTTTTGCCTTTGATATTTATTCATCTTTTTTGTTTAATACCTGTCATGGCTACATCTTTCCTATCTAAGCTTCATGAGCTGACAGCCTGACATTATCAAGGGGGAGGAGGGAAAAATTGGAATGTAAGGAGGAGGAAGGGTGGGGGGATAAAAGCCCAGCTGAGCTGGCTGCATTGTGAGAAGCTTCAGCCAGCCAAGGTCAACCATCAATATGCAGAGCTGAAACTGAAAGCCTGTTTCCTAAACAACATACAAGCACCTAATTGGACAGTTACAGATAATGGGAGGATGGTGGGAGGTGGGGGGGGGGAAGAGGAAAATTTATTTTGTATTGTTTGTGCAGGAAAACTTCAGATTTAGCTTACATTGCTTCTGTAATCCCTTAAGCTTCAGTAAAGTATACTCTTGGCAAAAACAAATGACCAGAAGTCTTTCTTTGCTAGATGACTGACTGGGATGATTGACAATACCACTATTAAAAAAACTTCTCTTTTTCTTTATCTTTTTCATCACCCCACCTTCTAGGATCCAATAATATTTCCTACAAACTCTTCAGGAATAGGAAGGCACAGGACAGATATTTGTCAGGAAGTCTAAAACAGATCCTTGATGTTATTGCTAGTAGTACAAGCTTTCTCTCCCAGTACACACAACAACTTTGTTATGGAGTAGAGATTATTTTCACATGGAGTGAAATGACAGGGACATGTTATTCCTGTGCACCATAATGATCCAAATACTCTTCATGAATCCTGCCAGTGTTATTCATGATAAATAACAGACATATTACATTGTACCACAATTTTAATATCATAGTTAATTTTCCTCCTCTTATACTTTTGCTTTTCAATGTGGTTTCTCAACCACTCTGTTTTAATGCAATTTCTAATTATATAATGAGCCTCTCATTTATGTTTTCAAATGGTACTTCTTTCTTCATCTTTGGTTTAGCGGCTGGAAAAAAGATCTGTTAGTCTTAATCAAAGCCACTGAGTGCTGAGAAGAATGGAAAAATGAAGGACTGTCGACAAGCAGGTGATTTTGAGTACAAAACTATATGTCTGTATCATATAGGAGTAGTTGTCTCTTAGCGACATTTGACACAATATACCCATGGCTGAGAAATCAGTAGAAATTGTCTCTTTCTAGTTTTATGAGTAGGCTCCATTGCATCATTTGTTTCAGTATTTCAGAATGCTTTAGTTGAAATTATTGATTTTTTAAAAGCAAGGAATTACTGGCAAATTTAGAGGTGCAGCTGTCTGACTGACTCTCTGTTAACTAGTGACAGCTGAGCTGAAGAATCCTCTTAAGAATGTATATGACAGTAAAAGGTTCAGAGGGGGTGGAAGTAATTTGAAGAAAGCTTGCAGATTTCTCAAAGATTTTGGAAGTTGTGGAGGTGGAGAAGACAGATGGATTCTGAGTTGCTACCAGAACTGCTATTTGCAAACAGAGAGGGTTACCATGATTTATGCCAATTCACAATACTGCAGTTTTAGAAATACACTCATTTTATTAAATAAGTATCTAGAAGAGGTAACAGTAGCCAGCAACCTGGACAGTTTTAAAGTAGGATTAAATAGATTCATAAAAGAAATAATGATGCCTCTATATTGCTTCCAGAATTTTTGTGTACTATGCCTATTTATTCAAGTTACTAGGAATGGCAAGTAGAAGGTTATTATTTTCATTTGTATTGGTACTTCTCCAACTCTTTTAGTAGCAACTCCTGAATCTGGAAGTTCTGTTTAGCTATCACTCCTTCTACACCATTTCTCCTTTACATAATATTATTTCCCTTTAAAGCTATTCAAAGGCACAGTATTTTGTGGTGGACATGTATGTGTAAGGAATATTGATAAATGTAATCTAAAATCACATAGCTGAGTGATACATATATTACGCATCTTCTGAAACTTGCTTTTCCTAAACACATATCATTTGAAAGTTATCTTTTGACAATTTATACTATGGAGATAGGAACTGGAAAAAATATGAGTTTCTAGAAACATAATTTGATAGATAACACAATAGTGGAGATAAAGGACATTAGCAGAGGGATTTTTTCTCCCTCCCAAAAAGGCTCTATGTGGAGGTTAGTGGACTAGCTATAGTTAGAAATTATTGTTTTTTCCCCCTCTATCTAGCTTTAACTCATCACCAATAAAGGCAGTTAGAGGAGAACATGCTATAATTACTAATCAAGAATGAAAAATTCTAGCTTCCATATTGTTCAGGTACAGAAATGGCAGAGTTGACCCATGGCCTCCCAAAAACAGCTGCTGAATGATAGAAAGTAAGGTACTTTTGAATAAATGTAGAATGAAGAAACCTTCCATAATTAACAATTCATGTATTACTTTCCCTTGTGTCCTCATAGTAGTTTCAGATTAAATAAAAAGAATAGCATTGTATTCTCATCTAAATATTTAGGAAGAGTAATAGATCTGCTCATATTGAAAATCCATTATTATATTACATTTTCTTGTATGAAGTAAAAGACCAGGACATTATGTGGTGAGAATTTTTCCCCAAAAGCAACAACTGCTTGAGGGTGACTAAAATCCTTAACAAATAGCTGCCTATAGGATTTTGCCTTGACCCTATTATGCTTGAAGATTTCAGTGTCTCATATTTATTTTATTGGTGATATTAATCTTTTACAGATGCATCCATATAATGCTACATACATACATGAAAAACATACATACATTTTCTTCCTGAAAAGGTCAAGGCTTTCTGATCAAAACAGGGACTTCAGCATTTGTTTAGGATGTTTATTGAGAAATGCAATCAGCCATGAATGTGACCCTGCTGAAACACAGTCATGAATGAAATTGTCTTCCTAAATTTGTCAACCATTTTCCTTCTGTTGCTCAAAAGTGCAATCATGTAAACTTTACTCTTGCCTAACCCGCATGAGCTTGCAAATGCAGCTTTTTTCTACTGTTCGTAGAGACCCCAAAGAAAATCTTATTTGTAGATAAGCATAAAGAAACTAATTAGATCATGCAATCAACCTGCAGTTTACTGGAATATTTATTCCCAAACCCCCTTCTTCCATCTTTGTTGAGTTGTGCCAAGGATCACCTTCTCATTATGTTTCAAAAGTATCTTTAAAGCTGCATGCATTTATCAATCAAACATAAACTGTGAAGAATAAAGATATATGGTGAGATAAAAATCCTTACCCCAAAGTTTCTCCTGACAAGCCTAGAAAACCTCTCAGAATTACAATTGTATTTGGCTTTATCAATATTATGGGTATACTATACATTGCATTTCTGGTGAATGCCTAACCCTTAAAAAAATGACCAGAAATTTTGTGTTAATGTTCAGAAGAATAATCACTTTTTGATCTGGCTCCTTACAAGGAACACTTGATGCTTTTTAACAAGCTGGATATATTCAGGGCTTTTTTTCTCATAGAACACCCAGAACAGAGTTCTGGCATCTTTCTGGGATGGAACCTTGTAGGGTAGGCAAGGTGGGTTGTATGATGTGTGTGAGTTCCGGCACTTTTTTTTTTTTTTTAAGAAAAAAAGCACTGGATATATTGAATGTAGTATGTCTAAGTAAAAAGCAATTTGAAGTGTTTGCTTCTGATTTGTTCTATCTTCGTTCATATTCAAAAGATTTGGCTGTATAATGGGAAGGGTGTAAACCCTAGATGCGACACCAGAAGCAACAACTTGAGATCTTCTGCTAATATCTGCATGGGATTATGCATTTCCTATTCAGAAAGTGCTTCCACGGATGATACTTCAAGATGTAAACTGCCTAGAGCTGAAGTTAAGATTGGCAGTTATACAAATGTTTTAAATAAAATACTTTTTATTGTGCAATTCCCTTTCAGCATTTTATAGAAATACAGGCAACATTATTTTGAGCAGGTGGTCCTCCTTTAATTTCTTATTTGATCTTTTTCTTTTTTTTAACAGCAGGAAATCTCTAAGGAGGGAACACACAGTGACTTTTTGGTTGGGAACAGTGAGAATGGAATAGAATGATATTGGAAGCATTCATAACTGTCCATATTGGGCCACTTCAATTCATATGTCACACCAACTCTATTCTATTTTGTTCTGTTTTACTTAAAAGCTTACTCTTCCCCCAGATTACTCTGGGTGGTTTACAGAAGGGAAAATGTTATGTATGCCTAGCCAAAATTACCTATTATATTACAAAAGAAGGCCACTACACACTCAACAAACAATGTAAATCCAGTCTTGGGGGGAAAAACCCCTCCTTATTCAAAGATGTATTGTACCTTATGGGTATAAGTCCAGTGAATTACTCTTTTAGGAAATATATATGCTTTCAGTATTATTGCTGAACTTACAATTCCTGAGGGAGCTAAATTGGTACACTTTTGGTTTCTTAGTATATGCCACAGGTCGGCAACCTGCGGCTCCGGAGCCGCATGCGGCTCTTTGAGCCTTCCCCTGTGGCTCCCAGCCTCCTCTGCCTTTGCAGAGAGAGACAGAGACACAGAGAGGCAATTGCGCTTCTCTCTCTCTTTGTGTGTGTGTGTGTGTGTGTGTGTGTGTGTGTGTGTGTAAAAGAGAGTGCACTCACAGTGTTCTCCGAGGAGCTGAAAAGCTTACTGGGCAGAACTCCTCCCTTTGTGCGTCTCTGCAGGAAGCAGGAAGCAGGAAGGGCAGGAGAGAGATAGCCCAGCTAGGCTGACTCAGGAATTCTGGGAGTTGAACTCCATGAGTCATAAAAGAGACGAGGTTGCCTACCCCTGAGTTTGTTGGAGAACAGCTTGAAGCTTGCCAGGTGAGCAGCAGATAGGAGGGGGGGGGAAAGAGAGAGAGAGAAAGAGAGAGAGGGAGGGAGAGAGAGAGAGAGAGAGGAAAGAGAGAGAGAAAGAAAGAGAGTGGGGGAAGAGGAGTGGCAGACCAAGGGCAGATAGAGAGGGAGGGAGAGAGAGACAGAGAGAGAGAGAGACCCTTTTGACATCTAAAATGAAGATAACACTGCATATATCCTTTTTTTACCTTTGTGTGTATGTAATTTTATTCTCTTAAAGCATTCTCCTGGTGATCATTGTTTTAATAGTATGGATATTTCCAACAGTCATAGTTTTACTTTTATTTTTAATGTGTGTGTGTGTGTGTGTGTGTGTGTATGTATGTATGTGTATATATATATATATATATATATATATATATATATATATATATATACATACACACACACACACACACACACACACACACACACACACACATACACATCTATAATAAAGGTAAAAAAGGATATATGCAGTGTTATCTTCATTTTAGATATCAAAAGGGTTTTGCGGCTCCCGGTGTTTTGTTTTTGGTGGGAAACGGGTCCAAGTGGCTCTTTGAGTGTTTTGGGTTGCCTACCCCTGGTATATGCAATTGAAAGCATAATTGAACTTAGCTCTTGCGGTTCTCTCTTTTGTCTGCACAGAATTGCTTGTGGCTGCTGCAATCAGGGAAGACTTGACTCCTAATGTTACATTCTTAGGATAGTTTATTATTCCCATACCAAATCTCACAGTTAAACCTCTTTCTGAAACTCCAGCTCTTAAGCAGCAGATATCTTCTGACCAGATATTTAATGCACAAATCCAGATTCATTAGATGGCAACCAAGAGATTTTTTTAAAAATCTAACTTTTTCAGTATCTTGGTGATTATTAAGTTTAACAAACAATCAACTGATATTTTCAAAGATTAAAAAGTTCAGTCAATTGATGGTAGAATCAAAAGAAAAAATACAATGTGTGGAATAAGAGCAGCATTGTGTATGATAATTGGAGGAAAGTTTTTCATATGCAAGATTAGAATTTCAGTTAAGGGAACTGTAAATCGTAAACTGTTATTTCTTTTGTTGTACATGTTAAAACTTGTAACAGCTAGCTTTAGGGCAACATGATTTTCTGCTGACTCTTGGATGGGCAAGGAGTATGATGAAAATGTGTGTGATAGAACAGAAAGACAAAGATGATAGACCACTGATGAAACAAGAGTTCTTATTAGACCTTTTCTTGAAGCTCCATCCATCAATGTGAACCCTGAACATGGTCCCAATTTTAATCCAAAGTTCTGCTTTGAGGTGAATAATTTCCAGTAGGGTTCTTTTGGGAAAGGATGGAGAACGATTTTTATTTGCCATTCTGTAATAAAAAGAAGAAGAAAAATGTTAATGTAGTGGATTAGAGGGTTCTGGACTTTCTTATACTTTTGCAATGTTTGTCATTTTTATATATACATTTTATTAAATCTTTTATAAAGAATATAAAAATAAACACTAATAGAGAATAAAGCAAGGAAGGAAGGAAGGAAGGAAGGAAGAAAGAAAGGAAGGAAAAGAAATAGAAGTTTCCAATTTCTTCTGCAGTAAATGTAAATTAAATTACAATATTAACTCTTGCTCTAAGACAGTGGTTCTCAACCTTTCTAATGCTGCGACCCCATAATACAGTTCCCCATGTTGTGGTGACCCACAACCACTTATACATCACTGGGTGCCAGGGGCATGGCCAAAGAAAAGGGGGAAAAATGGCGGACAGCCTTGTTTGGCGACCCCCGTGAAATGGTCGTTCGACCCCAAATGGGGTCCCGACCCACAGGTTGAGAACCACTGCTCTAAGATTATAAAAAGGTCCAGAATGTAGTAGAAGAAATCTGTTTCTCAAGTTTTAAAATAGGGCAGTTTAAGATGTTCAAATAGGAGAAAATGGACACAAAAATACAGGCTTGACAAATTCTTATATTTTCTTTCCATTTTGGAATAAACATACTGCATTTTAGCAACAATGAATGAATTTTTTTCCCTATTGTTTTCTTCCAAGATATTTTTACTGAAATAAAGCTGCACTTGGAAGCATTTCACTGAACCAAAAGCAAATGATAGCATGCAGGTGTTTGCCTGAAGATATTTTGTACCAAGAAAAATACTTAAGGCTTTTTGTTGATAGTCACAGTTCTGAAGCAGTGCCAAAAATTAACAAGGCAAGTCAATCATATTCATTTTTATTGCAGTCTGAAGCACTGATGTAATACAGTAGCAACATTTGAAAACAATTTACAGAAGTAAAAATACCATTTCATGGCAATTGCTTCTATAAATTGTCATAGTTGCTATTTTTAGAATGATCAAATATATTTCACTTGGTTATTGTTTAAATAAGATTTGCTTTGCTTGCTTCCTGAGGCCATTTTAAATTAATTCTATCAATATAAACAAACCTCTAATTGCTGATCAGTAAGTATATAAACTTTCATTACTCAGCAAGACCATACATTTCATTATTTATGTTAAAAGTGATGTCAGCATGTGTTAACTTATTTTCAACCTAAATTTAAGTACTTTGTACTTTCTATTTGTTAAATAAAAATGACACTGTGTCTGTTTGATATGCTATATTATTTGTATATTTTCCCTCTTTTCTCTGTAATTTTATATAGTTGTGTGTAAAAATGCACTCTGTCCTGTAGGGGTTATATTAGATTAGTATAAAAAGACACATTCAGATGTGATCATGCTTTGATTGCAGAATAATATAAATGATATTCAGACATATTGCTTTTCAGGGAACTTACCATGAGTAAGAAGGAGCCAGGTATGCCAGCGTTTGAAAATTATTTCTATATTAGTTTACACATTTAGCAACAATCCTTTTTAACCAGATACAGCAAAAATACACCATTCAATTTACCTAACAAAAGTATAGTTTAACAGAATAGCAGAGCTGGAAGGGACCTTGGAGATCTTCTAGTCCAACCCCTTGCTCTATCAGGAGACCATATATCATTTTAAACAAATGGCTGACCAGTCTCTTCTTAAAAGCCTCCAGTAATGGAGCGTCTATAATTTTGAAGGCAAGTCATTCCACTGGTAGATTGTTCTTACTGTCAGGAAATTTCTCCTTAGTTTTAGGTTAGTTTCCATCCATTGCTTCTTGTCTTGCATCCTGGTGCTTTAGAAAATAAATTGACCTCCTCTTCTTTGTGGCAGCCCCTCAAATATTGGAACACTATTAGTGGCTATCAAAGAACCACTAATCCTTCTGTTTATTAGACTTTACATACCCAATTCCTGCAGTTGTTCTTTATATGTTTTAGTTTCCAGCCCCCTAATCATCCTTCTTGGTCTTCTCTGGACTCTTTCCAGAGCTTATTTACTAACATCAGCTAACATCAAATAGTTAACTAGCAATAATGGGATAAAAAGCAAGGCCAGAACAAAGATAAAGAGTGACATGAAAGGCATGAATTTTCATTATGTATATCAAAAGACATAAAATTTCCAGACTACTGGAGCCCCATGCCTAATTTGCAGGGAGAGTCCTGTGGGGAGTGGTCTTTGGTGGTTCCAACTTTAACCCTTTTATGTATATAACAGACACAGAATAGAAATGAAAAGCCAGATGATTCTTCCTTCAATTTACAACATAAAGGAATAATCTGGTGGACAGATATACTGTATGATATAATCATATATCATTATGTCCTGTAAGTCTATAGAAAACTGATAATGACATTTCTGGCTTTGAATACAAGGGATGAATTATGAAACTGAGACACATACTTTACCAGAATCTAAAGTCTTACAAAAGATCTTTTGAAGATCAAGAAAAGATAAATAGAAGCTTCCAAAGATTTTTCCAATCAATATAGGAATTAAGAACATTATATTTATATTACACTTATCATACAATCCCTTTTTCAAACTGGCAGAAATACACCATGGCCAATTCTGAACAATTCCAAGCAGTGTGCCTCGATTTTTTTTAACCATATGGTATCCCAGTGTTAAAAAAGGGAATATGTTCTTATACCTCAGCATATTCATACATAAATTATAAAAAGGAACAGTATGGATCCAAGCACCTCTCCATCAGCAATCAGCACCCAGATCAGCATAGATTTAACTCCAAGAATAACATCAGACCAACAATCAAGTAAACAATACCCCAATCAAGAAACTGCCAAAGATCCAACAATAAGCAGCCTAAACAAAGAATTTCTAAGACCACTCCCATCAACACTGAAGGACAAGCCACCAGAATATGAACTGACAGCAAACTGCACTCCTTACTAGTGCTGATGCTGTTACCTAGTTAGTTTAATGAAATGTCTGCAAGAAAGCAACAAGCTCAGAGAGCACCAAGGACCCCTCATTTCAACCCTGAGCTACAAATAATCTCCTTTATTGGTACTGCAACCCATGTCATAAATACATGCCAGTTACCAAATATCCAAATTTTGATTGTATAATCATGGGAATGCTGCAATGATTTTATGAAAACCTGTCATAAGACACTTTTTTAAAATGCTGTTACAACTTTGAACAGTTACTAAATGAATGGTTGTAAGTTGACTATCTGTATATACTCAGTGCTAGTGTATTCACTTTATGATACATATAGATCATACACATACATCCCTAAAACAGACTGAAATATAATAAAATATGGTATTGGTTACTGTTGGTCTTTGGAGTAGACCAAATATGCTTTCTGTCAGATCCTTTTCATCAAGTTTGAACAGGGTGAGGCTATTCAAATGAGATTCTTCCATAAATTCAGTCATAGGCTCTTCAGTAAGCAGAATTCAACATTAGTGCCCATATTATTAAGCTACAGCATTCCAGTCTGTAATTTGGCAATGTCTAGATGTGTTGGAGCTTTATCTCCTAAATTTCTCTAGCCAACTTGACCATTCTGCAAATTCTAGAAGTGGCATCTCCAATACATCTAAAGGAATGAGATTAAGTAATGGTGCTTGCACACTGAAGTCAAAGAGCAATCTCTCTTTTCCTACCTTATAACATCAGAAAACATTATCAATTATGCAACAAAAGTATAAGTAAAACTATATTTCATCAGGCCAAGAGCCCATCAAATCCAGCATCCCTTTCCCAGGGTGGCCAATCTCTTGTATATTGGAATCCATAAGCAGAACATGAAGGACATGGCTTGTTCCAATATTGTTTCCCAGAAGTTGTTAATTTCATTTATTAAGTAATGTTCCACACAAACTTTGCTTAACCATAAAGGGAAGCAGAGTAAAAATTTAATGTAGAATCAGAGCCTGAATTTTTTCATGATAAAAAATCTCATGCCTGTATAAACTAGCTTCCAGACTGAGACATTTTGATTATTAAATAAGGTATTTGAGCTGACAGCATTTTGCTGCCTAATTCCCATTCTTGATGTAAAAATAATTAACTGAGCTTCTTTTTCTTGCACAATAACTGTTGACATCCTTACGGCATTTAAAATAAGACGTACACAATGGTGGTTGGCTTTAAAATTTAAGCTGATTATTCAGAATTAATAAGGAAGGACTAGCTTCTGATGGAAGCTAATCTGATTGTGTAAAGCTAATTCAATTTTATACTGTGCCCGGAGATTAAAAATGTAAATTTAGTAGATATTTAAACTGCTAGCCATTTTGTTTAAAAATGGAGAATAATTTCTACACGTATTGCCATTCCTATTCATAATTCTAGAAAACTTTCTGAATCATTCATGATTGTACTAAAGCAACTTTTATTTGTAAGCTCATTCAAGATAAGAAATTAGCAATCAAGTATGGAAAATATCTATGCTTCTTTAAATGTGTGTGTGTGGGAACACATACATGACTGCAATTAAAAAAACTAGGATTTCAGCATAAAAGATGAAAACATAAACTTGATTAATTTTCTCTTAAGAGTTGAGAGACTAAATGTTGCTTTTCAATTGCAAAATACAATTGGAAAAAAAGAAAAATTAATATATCTAAAAAAGATTAGTCATGCTGTATATTTGCTGCAGTTATACAGTATTCTGCCTTTCCTTTAAGAAATTCAAAGTGGATCTTCCCTTCCCATCTCCTTTGAGCCTTGTGATAATCCTGTTACTAGCCCACTGGCTCCCAGCTTTTATGATTGTATGACAACTTGAACATTTTTCTCTCTAATCACAATCTTACAGCTGACCACTATTCCATGCTGTCTTGACAGTTTATATCTAGAAGAAAAAAGTTAATATAGGCTGAAATCACATTGCCTCTTTTCTCCTCATACAAGTAACAATCCTGCACTTACAGTATATTGCAACTTGGCTGAAAATGGAAAGCTTTAAGAACAAGAGTGACTATACTCATTTAAAATAAAATGAACACT